CCCCCAGGGATGCTGACCCTGCTGAAGCACTTAGAGGAAAGCATCCAGCCAAGGAAACCAGGGGCACCAACAGTCCCAACACCGCAGTCCCCACTGTGTGATTGTGCAAAACTCAGACATTTACAATCAGTAATATCGTTCCCGTCCGGTTCTGCTGGGGGCTACACTTTAATAAGGCGACAACATTTAAAAGGAATGGTTAATCTAGTTATCGGGGATATTACAGAGACACTGCTTTCAGAGATCACAAGGTACGTCAACAATTCCTTAGCCGGTCTGATTCCTGACGAAATTAAACCTTTCTTTTTTGGTGCAACACTCTGTGCCTTTTAAAAGAAGGATGGAGGAATTAGGCCAATTGTATTGAGAACACTTTTCGCTGCTGTCAGAAGTATTTGCGCAGAGGCGGCCATGATGCTTCAACCAAACCAGCTTGGCTTTGGGGTCCCTCAAGGAAGTGAAGCAGTGGTTCATGCAACAAGGGCGTATATCAACAAGCTGGCTGAGGACAATGCAGTGGTAAATTAGATTTCAAGAATGCATTTAATCTCCTGAAAAGAGACGTAATATTAGCAGCTGTACAAAAACATTTCCCTGATCTCTTCCCCTTTGTTTCAGCTGGATATTGCAAGGAATCAATGCTTCTGTTTGGAGAGCATGAAATCACATCATCAGAGGGTGTTCAGGAAGGGAATCCTCTTGCACCATTTCTCTTCTGTATAGCGGCTAGGGAAATCACAGCCAGACTGACGAGTGAGCTAAACATCTGGTTCCTGGATGATGGCACAATAGTAAAGGAGTCCCTTCTAGATGATCTTACACAGGTTATGACACGGGGACAGGAAATGGGTCTCATCCTGAATCCATCCAAATGTGAAATCAACTCAGTCAGTCAGCAAGTGATAGATACAGTGAGATCAAAACTACCAGGAGCATCAGTCATTGCCCCCACAAATAGCCTCTTGCTAGGAGCACCTCTGGGAAGCGATGCCATTGACACAATTCTCAGGATGAAACTGAAAGAGTTGTGGAGAATGGAACAACGAATAGGCATTCTTGACACTCATGATGCCTTGTACCTTCTCACAAAGTGCTTGAGTCTGCCCAGGTTGACATATTCCTAAGATGTGCACCTTCATATGATAACCCTATATTGCACAAATATAGCAGTATCCTGAGGCAGATTTTTACGAAAGTACTTAACCTTACTCTAGAAGACCGGCAGTGGAACGAAGCTACACTTCCAGTCAGACTTGGAGGCACTGATGTCCGAAAGCCATCAGAGATTGCGCAACCTGCTTTCCTGTCCTCATGCATTGCATCCAGAGGGCTTGTAGCAGCGTTTCTCCCTGAACATCTTAGGGACAAGATTGGAGTCCATGACCAAAAGTTCGTTGACCGAGCCATGATCTGGGATAATCTAACGGGCTCTAAAACTGGACCTGCACCTCCAAACAACTACAAACAGTCACACTGGGATGGCCCAATAGTGGAGAACATAACCTCAATAATGCTTCAGAGTGTGTAAGGGAAACATAGAGCCCGCCTCCTGGCAGTGAGAGCTCCTCATGCAAGGGACTTTCTGTTGGCTGTTCCCAACTCCAGCCTTGGCACACGGCTCGACCCACAGACCATCCGCACTGGTGTTGCCCTTCGACTTGCCGCCCCTATTCTCGCCGAACGCAGGTGTATTTGTGGCAGTGAAGCAGCAGATCAATTTGGGTACCATGGTCTTGTGTGCCGTAAATCCGAGGGAAAGATTGCAAGACACGAAGAGGTTAATAACATTATCAAGAGGAGCCTCACAACAGTCGGATGCCCAACAGTAAGGGAGCCACCCCAATTATGCAGATCTGATGGCAACCAAAAGCGTCCAGATGGTATCACCCTTCAAGCCTGGACAGACGGCAAGCAGGTGGTGTGGGACTACACATGTGCATCTACCTTGGCTGATACCTATCTCCAATACACCAGGGAGGAAGGAGGGGCAGCTGCCAGCTTCAGGGAGTCCCAAAAGTCTAGAAAATATGGAGAACTTGCCCATCATTATATGTTTGTTCCCATAGGCTCAGGGACCCTTGGCTCATGGGGAAAGAGTGCATCTAGGTTCCTTAAGGAGCTAGGTATAGCAAGGAAGGGTTAGGTACACGTCGTACACTTGCTGCTACACACACACACACACACACACACATAGATTTGTCAGGAAGTGGAATCTTCTGGAAAGTGATGTGGTGGGGCAGGATCCATACATAGTTTTAAGACGAGGTTTGATAAAGCTCATGGAGCAGAGAGAGAGAGGACCTATTAGCGGCCAGTGAAGAGGTGGGGCCAGGAGCTGAGTCTCGACCCCTGCAACCACAATTAGGTGAGTACACACATACACACACACACACACACACACACACACGTTGCACATACATCGTACGAGCTACAGGAAAAGACAGTAAACAAAATGATGGAACACGTAACCACAGAGTGCAGGGAGACAGTGGAGAAGTTCGTACCATAGGGAAACAGAAACAACGGGAAGACCAGAGTGAGTCCATGGCTTTCCAGGAGGTGCGGAGAGGCCAAAGCCAAATGCGCTAGAGAATGGAAAAAGTATAGCAGGCAGAGGACCCAGGAAAAGCAGGATCCTATTCCTTAACTTGTCAGTAGTAACCACCTCGATTTTTAACGCGCTTTTCGGTTCAGTGAGGGACACATGTCACAATAACCTGACTGCAACACTTCGCACAAAAACATCCACTTTCAAGAAGAGAAAGTTAAGACTTAACTTTCTTTTTAACTTTCTCTTCATGTTTTTTTTTGTATATAGTTTTCCGATTTCAGTTCGATCAGATCCTCATCAAAAATAAAACCTTTTTTCCTCGAGTAGGTTAATTTGGGTTCGGGTAAGTTAGGTTATGTTAGGTTAGGTGAGGTGAGGTGAGGTGAGGTTAGGTTAGGTTAGGTGAGGTGAGGTTAGGTTAGGTTAGGTTAGGTTAGGTTAGGTTAGGTTAGGTTAGGTTAGGTTAGGTTAGGTTAGGTGAGATGAGGTGAGGTTAGGTTAGGTTAGGTGAGGTGAGGTTAGGTTAGGTTAGGTGAGATGAGGTGAGGTTAGGTTAGGTTAGGTGAGGTGAGGTGAGGTTAGGTTAGGTTAGGTGAGGTGAGAGGGTTAGGTTACGTTAAGTTTTGTTAGGTGAGGTTAGGTTATGTTAGGTTAGGTGAGGTTAGGTTAGGTTAGGTGAGGTGAGGTGAGGTTACGTTAGGTTAGGTTAGGTGAGGTTAGGTTAGGTTAGGTGAGGTGAGGTTAGGTTAGGTTACGTCAAGTTAGGTTAGGTGAGGTGAGGTTATGTTAGGTTAGGTGAGGTGGTTAGGTTAGGTTAGGTTAGGTGAGGTGAGGTTAGGTTAGGTTAGGTTAGGTGAGGTGAGGTTAGGTTAGGTTAGGTGAGGTGAGGTTAGGTTAGGTTAGGTGAGGTGAGGTTAGGTTAGGTTAGGTGAGGTGAGGTTAGGTTAGGTTAGGTGAGGTGAGGTTAGGTTAGGTTAGGTGAGGTGAGGTTAGGTTAGGTTACGTTAAGTTAGGTTAGGTGAGGTGAGGTGAGGTTAGGTGAGGTTAGGATAGGTTACGATAGGTTAGGTTAGGTTAGGTTAGGTTAGGTTAGGTGAGTTGAGTTAGGCTAGGTTAGGTGAGGTTAGGTTAGGTTAGGTGAGGTTAGGTTAGGTAAGGTTAGGTTAGGTTAGGTGAGGTGAGGTTAGGTTAGGTGAGGTGAGGTGTGGTTAGGTTAGGTTAGGTTAGGTTAGGTTATGGTTAGGTTAGGTGAGGTGAGGTTAGGTTAAGTTAGGTTAGGTGAGGTGTGGTGAGATGAGGTTAGGATAGGTTACGATAGGTTAGGTTAGTTAGTTAGGTTACGTGAGGTGAGGTTAGGTTAGGTGAGGTGAGGTTAGTTAGGTTAGGTGAGGTTAGGTTAGGTAAGGTTAGGTTAGGTTAGGTGAGGTGAGGTTAGGTTAGGTGAGGTGAGGTGTGGTTAGGTTAGGTTAGGTTAGGTTAGGTTAGGTTAGGTGAGGTGAGGTGAGGTTAGGTTAGGTTAGGTTAGGTGAGATGAGGTTAGGTTAGGTGAGGTGAGGTTAGGTTAGGTTAGGTTAGGTTAGGTTAGGTTAGGTGAGGTTAGGTTTAGGTTAGGTGAGGTGAGGTTAGGTTAGTGAGGTTAGGATAGGTTAGGTTAGGTTAGGTGAGGTTAGGCTAGGTTACGTGAGGTGAGGTTAGGTTAGGTTAGGTTAGGTTAGGTTAGGTTAGGTTAGGTTAGGTTAGGTTAGGTTAGGTGAGGTTAGGTTAGGTGAGGTTAGGTTAGGTTAGGTTAAGTTAGGTTAGGTTAGGTTAGGTTAGGTTAGGTGAGGTGAGGTGAGGGTAGGTTAGGTTAAGGTTAGGTTAGGTTAGGTTAGGTGAGGTTAGGTTAGGTGAGGTGAGGTTTGGTTAGGTTAGGTTAGGTTAGGTTAGGTTAGGTGAGGTTAGGTTAGGTTAGGTGAGGTGAGGTTAGGTTAAGTGAGGTTAGGTTAGGTTAGGTTAGGTGAGGTGAGGTTAGGATAGGTTAGGTTAGGTTAGGTGAGGTTAGGCTAGGTTAGTAGGTGAGGTTAGGTTAGGTTAGGTTAGGTTAGGTTAGGTTAGGTTAGGTTAGGTTAGGTTAGGTTAGGTTAGGTAAGGTTAGGTTAGGTGAGGTTAGGTTAGGTTAGGTTAAGTTAGGTTAGGTTAGGTTGGGTTAGGTTAGGTGAGGTGAGGTTAGGTTAGGTTAAGGTTAGGTTAGGTTAGGTGAGGTTAGGTGAGGTTAGGTTAGGTTAGGTTAGGTTAGGTTAGGTTAGGTTAGGTGAGGTTAGGTGAGGTTAGGTTATTTCAGGTTAGGTTGAGTGAGGTTAGGTTAGGTTAGGTTGTTAACGGTGTTAATAACCTATAGGTTATTATAACCTTCAGATGTTATTAACGGTGTTATTCCAGGTATTTTTAACTATGTAATTACTTCCGTCAGGTGACGTGGATGAGACAGAGAGATCTTCATATCCTCACCGCTGGCATCTTCACTTACTCCGCTGATGACCGCTTCACCGTAAGTGTAACTGTGACTCACTGCTTCACCGTAAGTGTAACTGTGACTCACTGCTTCACCGTAAGTGTAACTGTGACTCACTACTTCACCGTAAGTGCAAATGTGACTCACTTTCGCCGTAAGTGTAACTGTGACTTTCTGCCTCATCATAAGTGTAACTGTGACTCACTGCTTCACTGTAACTCTGATTACTTTTCTGAATGACTAGATGGATGGTTGAATCTTCTCTAAATGGATACTTGACTGGCTAATTCTCTGCATGGCAAATATGACTGATTCTCTAACGGACCTATCAGGCTGTTAGTGGTGGTTTGTTCGTCAGCAAACTGGACGCGATGACTGTAACTAGTGAAGTGCCCACTAAATTATCTCTTTTTTTTTAGTGCATAAAAACTGCAGTTTCTTAAATTCGTTCAAAATGAAGAATATTACGAGATGCCAAGGTTTCATCTCTATACACTTCAGCATTCTTGCAGCGGACACTTTTATAATTGGTTGAATAATTAATTAATTAGCTGCCTTCTTTCTCTTAGTGGTTGGGTAATTAGTAGTAATTATCTTTATCGCCAGTCTTTTTTTTTTTTGCTAATTCGTTACTGGTCAGAGTGATTAATGAAATCTATTAAATTCTACTTGATTAATTTACTCCGAGGATACCTTACTGATTAATTAGCTTCCTCAAATGACTGGGTCATTAATATTTTCGCTGCCTCTTTGGCTGTCTTGTTGATTAATTGGTTTTTCGTGTTGGTAGTCGATCAGGATTTAACTGACGGATCTGTCACTACCTCGTCTGGTTGTATGACGGCCATTGTATGATTGGTGTATGAATGACCGAATGTGTGACTAGTTGTATGAATGTATGGTTGGATGGTTGGCAGGTTAAATTATCGGTCGGATGTATAAATTGGCTGCAATTTTCCCCTCAGATGGTTGGTCATTTAATTATCAGGATCATGATTGCTTGCTGGTGTGGCTGGCCCGCTGCTTTCTCGTACCTAACGACGTTAATTACTTATCTGATTGAATGGTTCATTAGTAACAAACATCAAATGGCAGATCACTACTTGCTCATGCAACTGAATACCTCGTTAGGTCCTCATTTCTAATAACTGATCAACATTTATTCAAACGAATGGTTTCGCAATCTGTCATTACTCATGATCGATCATGACTTGACTGGTTGGTTGACTAGGTACTCGAGTGACTGATTTATGTGTCTAAACTGTCTAAATTGTTGTCATAGAAGCTAGGTGGTTAGAAGGAAACTCTGTCTGCTGGATGACAAAGTCATGGTCAGTCTATGTCACGGGATGGTTGATTTACGAATTTTAAGGGTGAAAGCACAGGTCACTGTATGAAGATATGTATGGGTATCTCTAAGCTTATGTCTTGGCTACAGATAAAGGTAAGCATTGGTATCTATAAAGGTATGTCTTGGGCATTTTTAAAGGTCTCTTGGGTATCTCTAAAAGTATGTCTTGGGTGTACAAAAAGGTATGTTTTGGGAATAAATATAGGCTTGTCTTGGGAGATAAGTTGGATGATTGTACTCTCTGTAACCCTTATTAACAACTTTTCTGCATGAGTACAACCGTAAAGCTTTGAAAAGCTTATAATACTTGGAAGATATGTCTTGGGTCAGCATTTGCACAGTTTTCCACGTGATGCCAAACTACTTTCAAATAGTTATGTCTTGTTATAGCTGGCCTAGCCCACAATTTGCAGAGAAAACTTCAGACGCGGTTTCGGTCGTGGACCATTAACAGTGGTGACGTCATAATGATTCCCAAGCTTCTAAATTTTACACACGCATTTATATACATCGAGAGATGTGTTTCTCAATATATACACATCAAGAGATGTTTCTCAATATATACACATCAAGAGATGTTTCTCAATATATACACATCAAGAGATGTTTCTCAATATATACACACCAAGAGATGTTTCTCAATATATACACACCAAGAGATGTTTCTCAATACATACACACCAAGAATTATTTTTCTCAATATATAGACATCTACAGCAATTTATTTCTCAGTGAATATTGAAGGAGAATCTATTATAATCCCTATTTTACTTATTAAAGTATATTTGACTGAGGTATCCAGGTTTATGCAGTTGTGATCCCTCATATAGTACAGCATTTAAACCTCCCCCTCACACCAGAAAAAAAATCAATCAATCAAGGATAACGTCACAGTGAGCTTTCTGACATTCTTAAATCAGTCACTTTATCAACATTAAATTCTTCACTGTTTTCTCCGACTCATTTAATTTTAATGAACAGAAAATTCTCTAGTTTCACCATATGCATACAACGTATATACATATATATATATATATATATATATATATATATATATATATATATATATATATATATATATATATATATATATATATATATATATATATATATATATATATATATATATATATATATATATATATATATATATATCGTGCCGAATATGTAAAACTGGTCATTTAGCAAGAACTTATTTAAAATTAAGTCCTTTCTAAAAAAATTTCTTATACGTTTAAAGATACATTTTTTTCATTAATGTTAATGTAAAAAAAATTAATATTGCACTAAAAGAATCTTAGAAAGCATACCTAACCTTATTACAACAAGAGTAATTTATTTTAGCCTAACCCAACTAAATATATATTAGATTAGTTTACAATAATTTAATACTAAATAAACACAGTGAAATATATTTTTTTTCGTTAGGTTCAGAATGATTTTGTCGAAATTATTGCATACACAAATTTTAGCTTGTCCTATATGGCAAAATGAGTGTTGCTATTTAAGCCAAGATCGCAAGTTCTGCCTATTCGGACGAATATATATAAAATATATATATATATATAAAATATTTTATAATTTTTATATATATATATATATATATATATATATATAAATTAGGATTAAGTTGTAATAAACAATGGTGGACGAGTTGGGGTAAGAATACGTCTACTATCTACTGTTAAAGCTCCTGGGCCGAGAGAAGGAGTTCAGTTGGGTTACATTTGGTGCTTCTGAAGGTAATATAATACAGTATTACCTCTGGATCCTTCCTATTAGTGACCTGAGTTAACCTAGACGGTAGAGCGTTGGACTGTCAATTTACGTTCCGTGTTTCGAGCCCCTCGTCCACCCTCTGTGGAAACTTTAGACAACGTTTCGCCCTGTCGTGGACCATTTTCATGTAAACTGAGACAATGAGGAGAATACCAGAAGACAGGTTAGTGTTCTATCAATATTTTTACTCAGTTTTCCTCAGCATCCTTTTGTAATTTCTTTGGGTAGTTTCTTTAATATATTCAAACACTGCACACCTCTGGGGATTCTCAGCTCACTCTTCCTTCCTCTTTACAGTATTGCAATTCCCTCTTATCTTTTCCATTCTCTCCCTCTCTCCCTCTCTTTAATCTTTGTCTTTACTTCAGCAGTTCGCACCTCTCTCTTAAATCTTCAGCGCCCATCAGATCTTAAAGTAATTCTTCCTCATTGCCTCAGGATTTAAATCTCTGCCTTCAGCTTCCTGTGAGTCTTATCTTCAGAATTACTTACACGTTCTTTCACGTCTTCACCACCACACCTGGAAGGTGGTGATGATGGTGGTGATGATGGTGGTGATGATGGTGGTGATGATGGTGGTGATGATGGTGGTGATGATGGTGGTGATGATGGTGGTGATGATGGTGGTGATGATGGTGGTGATGATGGTAGGGGTGGTGATGGATTAACACTACACACACACAGAGTGGCAAAATCCATACAAAGATTTAAGACCAAGTATTATATATATATATTAATATATATTTTATATATATATATATATATATATATATATATATATATATATATATATATATTATATATATGATATATATATTATATTAATATAATTTTCAGCGGCACCGGCCGTATCCCACCAAGGCAGGGTGGCCCAAAAAGAAAAACGAAAGTTTCTCTTTTTAAATTTAGTAATTTATACGGGAGAAGGGATTACTAGCCCCTTGCTCACGGCATTTTAGTCGCCTCTTACAACACGCATGGCTTACGGAGGAAGAATTCTGTTCCACTTCCCCCTGGAGATCAGAGAAAATAAACAAGAACAAGAACTAGTAAGAAAATAGAAGAAAACCCAGAGGGGTGTGTATATATATGCTTGTACATGTATGTGTAGTGTGAACTAAGTGTAAGTAGAAGTAGCAAGACGTACCTGAAATCTTGCATGCTCATGAGACAGAAAAAAGGACACCAGCAATCCTACCATTATGTAAAACAATTACAGGCTTTCGTTTTACACTCACTTGGCAGGACGGTAGTACCTCCCTGGGCGGTTGCTGTCTACCAACCTACTACCTAGGTATATATTTATTATATATTATATATATATATATATATATATATATATATATATTATATATATATATATATATATATTGTCGTGCCGAATTTAAGTGACCAGTTTTACATATTCGGCACGACATATATATATATATATATATATATTTTTATATATATATATATATTTTATATATATATATTTATATATAATTTTTCCCACCACTTTAGTGTGACTTTTATTCTTGTGTTATAATGACAATGTTTCCCAGCCTTGGTCACTATCCCCGCGGGATCTCTGCCTGACTCTTACTGTCACCAAGAAATAAAAAAAAAATATTTTTTTCTGCTTGTTAGCTTGTCTGCTAGTGGCCAGAAGTCTCCGTTGCTACCAGCAGTTTCCAAAATTTCATTGTTCTGTTGTGTTGCTTGTAGGAACATTGTGTGAACGTTATCTTGCAACTCATCTCCAGTCATGTGTGTTATTGCTTCTTAAACTGTTATTGCTGGTGTTCCTCTTCATGTAGGACTATAATATATATATATATATATATATATATATATATATATATATATATATATAATTATATATTTATATATATATATATATATATATATATATATATATGCAATA